GGGGGGGGAAGAAATGTCCTTTAGAAGATAATTTATACCCAAGTGAAAATCTCCTTTTAATACTTGACCTATTAAAGCACTGAAGCTGGAAAGAAAAGCTGCACAACGGCAAGCCTGTGTTCGCAGCCAGAGCCCCGTAGATGGGTTTGCCCAGATAAGCTTTGAAGGCAGAAGTCAACAATTTCTAATCAGAATAGTTAAAAATACAGCAAGAACAAAACTTGCATTAGTGAGAACGATGGGACAACAAGCGAGTTTATCTCGAGAGCAACCACGCAGTGTAAATGCTGATTAAGGATTTAGATGCTGCTGTAGCCAGTGCAGGCTCCAGCCAAATACATCCAGGCAATTTTATGGGGTTTTTCATATGGCCCTTTGCAGCTGTGAAAATGGAAGTGTCAAATCTCCAGTTAGGGCACGATTATCCAGCAAACAAGATGTAAAGAGACGTGTGCTGCGTGTCTGGGACCCCAATCCCAGCAAAGGAAAACCAACTGTGACTTGGAAAAGGATGGACTGTTGCTCCATGCCCTGCACTCCATGCTCAGCAAGCGACCATCGAAGTCCATGCAAGGCGCTGGCCATGGCCAAGAGCTCATCTGTCACAACCTCAGCAGATGTTTCTCCTGCACAGTAGGAGGTGTGAAACCTGTCCAGCCACACACAACCTGGGATGTGCTGACACATGTCTGGAAGAAACACAACTGCTTCCCAACATCTGCTCCTCAGCAGCAGCAGACCCCAGGGACCATCTGAGACACAGCTTAACTCCAGGTGCTGCTGGCATCGGCTGCATTGCTCCTGGGACTCGTTTCCAAGGAAGCCTGATGATTTTCTGCTGCTCTTCAGAATGGAATCATTCAGGTTGGAAAAAACCTTTACGATCACTGAGCCCAACTGTTACTCCAGCACTGCCAAGCCCACCGCTAAACCATGTCCCTGGCTGCCACATCTACACGTCTTTTAAATACCTTCAGGGATGGTGACTCCACCGCTGCCCTGGGCAGCTTGTTCAGTGCTTGACAACCCTTTCAGTGGATAATTTTTCCCTAATATCCAACCTAAATGTCCCCTGGTGCAGCTTGAGGATGTTTCCTCTTGTCCTATTGCTTGCTACTGGGGAGAAGAGACTGACCCCACCTCACTACAACCTCCTGTCAGGTGGTTGTAGAGAGCAAGAAGGTCCCCGCTGAGCCTCCTTTTCTCCAGGCTGAACAACCCATGCAATTGGCATCGGCCCATTGATCCAACCTGTCCAGATCCCTCTGTAGAGGCTCCTCCCCTCCAGCAGATCAACACCCCTGCCCAATTTGGTGTCATCTGCCAGATGACACCTCATCCAGATCCTTGATAGGGCCACCAGCAAGCACAAATCCTCATTAAAGCTCCTGGGATTTAGCCATCATTTCACCTCTGCAAATCAGGCAGTTACTTAAGGCTTTGTACAGCCAAATACCACACCAGAGCCATGACTGTGATATGACGGAGAACATGAACACTCGTCCTAATGAGGAATCAGGCTTCTTTGTTGAATTACCCAGAGCTAGGAAGCAGCATGAAAACCTCGGGGTAGGGCTACCTCCAGGCTTAGTGGCTAAGCAAAGAACCAGTGCTCAAGAGGAGACCAACATGGGGATACATCAGCAAACAGCATGGACGAGGAGACCTACAGAGCAAAAAAGCTGGGGAGGAACTGTTGGGAAGATACAACTTATTGTTCCAGGGGATCTACTTGGTTTCAGGCTCTTCTGGGCTTCCTGATAACAGGGAAGGATTCAAAGTGTTACCAGATGATCAGGATAAAGGTATAGAGCCATGTTTATACTAACTGCCATGATACACCTGAGACAGTAGACACCAGAATGATTTAACCTCAGTCTATTTGTCTTAGGGGAACGCAGCGCTCCTGCTGTTAGTGATGTTTTAACTTGCAATAGAACAAAGGTCCAGCACAAGCCAGAAACAAAAATACAAACATGAACCTTGAGAATAGACTCTAAAATATAAGTGTTTTTTTCTTCTTTGATGGATAACCCGTTACTTTTGACAGCTCCTGTCAAATCCCCATTGAAGTCCCAGGGTAAACATGCTCAAAGCCTGTGAAATAGTATTTGAGTGCCACAATGAGCCCTTTTTCAGCACGTAACGGCAAAATGCGCAACCTGTGAAATTAGAAAGCAGATCATGGGTATCTCAAGCAGGATCCAGGTACAGAACAGAAGACACAAGCATCAGGAGCTCCGAGACATCAGTGTATACCCTGCTGTGTGTCAAACCAATAGCCCAAAAAAGACTGATATTCAAAAAGCAAGCAAGCCTGACCGAAGTAATAGAGAAAAAGGTATTTCGCGGTTTATAACCAGCATACACAGGACAAGCATGTCTGCTGATGAATTATCCTTTCAATATGGAGCAAAATGATGGTAAAAGCAAGTAATTGGGAGCCCATAAATTACTTCTCTAAATCCAGACAAAGACACAGACAGAGCTCACTGACAAGGCAAGACATTAGTTGTCAGATAAGGTTCCAACCATTGAAGAGAGTAAATTAGCATCCTTCACTACCATTTTCTCTGCAGTTGCAGTACACAAAGGTTCAGCGATATATATTCTATCAAGCCACATCCAACAGCATCATGGACAACAGAGCAAAAAGGAAAACAAAGGGGCTTCCCAGATCGTCCAGGAGAAAGGAAGCATGAAGCTGAAAGGGCTGGAGGGAATGGAAATGGGTTTGGGCAGGAACACACATGAAATTATCTTGTTTAGGAAGAAAGAAGACCTTATTTCTGAGGGTTTGGCAGAGTGATACATCCCCATCACTACCAGCTCTCCCACAGCACCAGCTGTACCAGCGGTGGCATCGAGCCATGTCATCGTTCCACTCGAGGTGTGAGGAATAGCATGGTCTGGTTGGCTCCATGCAAGCACATCACGATGGTCCACTTGTTCACACCCTGGCAGGAGGTTGCTGTACATTATTTAAAATGAAATGATGGCTGTGAAGAGCAAATGGTAATGGATGCCTACAATAAACAGGTTTCTGAAGCGTAAAATCCCAAGGGGATCTCTTTCAAAGGGAGAACAAGCCTCCAGTTACAGCTTGGTAAAGAGGGAACTCATACTAATGGGCAAAAAGGACTCCATCTCCTTTCTAAAATGCAGAAGGAAAGAAGGAATTAAGTCCCTATCCCCCACAGAGGGGGCCTGAGCCTAACCAGCCTTTAGGGCATCCTCTTTATTGGCAGGGATTATGTATCCCAGTCCTACAAGAACACTGAGGGAATACAAAAACCTGCATTCAGAAGGTGATTTGGTTGGTCAGCCCCAAGAGACCACAAGGCAAGGCACAGCTTTTTCAAATATTAACATAAACCAGGAGGGGAGACACATATAGGTGACATATTTCACTATCTTCTCCCCCTCAAAGGAGATTTAGCCACGGATTTCTCTTTAAATCCAT